ATATTTGTCTATTTATATGTTTAATTATTATTTTTTCATAAACAGTAGCTTTAGCTGAGCACCTTGAATACAAATTAAGAATATATTTAGGTGGGCTTGTGAAAACAAAAACAAGAAATATGTCTAAATGAACACTTCTTATTGTGCTGTGCTGAACTTGAAACTGAAAGTTTGATATTTCTAAAAGAGTCTGAAACTTCTTTCTAATGTAGAAGGAAAAATATGTGGTTGCTCTTTGCCCTAACTGGCCTTTCTGTCTCTTCACAGAGCCAAACAACCAGTGCTACCATGAGCTGAAGGAGACAGCACCATCGGGTCATTATCATACCTTCAATGGACTGAATCAGTGTGATAACACTCGGGGGTAGTGAGGGGTGGTCATCATTTGGGTCTCTGTGGTCTGAACACAAAACAGGCCTCTTAGAATTACAAGGCAAATGGTTCTGACTAGAAATGTTAATTGCTATGGATTGTGATCATTTTTGTTGCCTGGCATCTGGACCTGCCAGAGAGCTTTCTTATTTTTCAGTACAACCTGGTGTATTTTGGGGAAGAAAAATATGAAAAGACAGATTTCAAAAAGAATGTCTGCTATGTTTTTATTTTATTTTATGTTTTTATTTGGGGTGGGGGGTACAACATTTGTCAGCATGATAACATTTGTGTTTGAGGAAAAAAACATTATTTTTACACAGTTTGTAGCTTATATCACAAAATCAAAAATCTGTTCAGCAATAGAGTCCAGTGTCAGTAACAGACTGTAAGATTACGTAACACATTTGAATCTTTACTACTTTTTATATAATTGCTTATTTGTTATAATTTTCCATACTCCTGTTTGGTCAATACCCTTTGCTTTCCTAAAAAATAAAAATACAACTTTTAGTATTTGTTGTTAACAAATAAACACGATTGATGTTTGCAAGAGGTTAGAGGGGCAGCATCTTCTAGCTTTATTCTGGCAGAGTTTGAAAGAGTGGTTCCAGAGTGGCACCCGGGGCAGAGTCTGACTGCAGGTGTACCTTGTAAAATTAAAGTAAATATATTTTGCTGATGAATAGAGTGACATTAGTGATGTGCAAAAGCAGAAACGTGTATTATGAATGTAGGAATGATCAGACATAACAAATTTGGAATAGCAGTGTCATCCATTCATCCATTATCTTGTTCTGAAGTCGGGTCGCATGGGCAGCAGTTTGAGCAAGGAGGCCCAGACATCTCTTTCCACAGCCACCTCTTCCAGCTCTTCTGGGAGGACTCCAGTGTGTTCCCAGGCCAACCGAGAGACGTAGTCTCTCCAGCATGTCCTGGGTCTTCTCCAGGTCTTCTCCAAGTCAGACATGCCTGATGCACCTCCCTAGGGAGGTGCCCAGGGAGAATCCTTACCAGATGCCCGAACCACCTCAACTGGCTTCTCTCAATGTGGAGGAGCAGCGGTTCTACTCCGAGTCTCACCCAGATAACTGAACTTCTTACCCTATCTCGTGAACAAAACCCCAAGATACTTTAACTCCTCCACTTGAGGCAGAACCTCACCCTCAACCTGAAGAGAGCAATTCACCCTTTTCTGGTTGAGGATCATGGCCTCAGATTTGGAGGTGCTGATTGTCATCCCAGCCACTTCACACTCAGCTGAGAACCATTCCAGTGAGAGCTGAAGATCATGGCATGATGACATCATCTATGAAGAGCAGAGATGGAATCCTGACGCCACCAAACTTGAATCCCTCCGCCCCTGGCTGCACTGAGAAAGTGTTCAAGTTATGATCAGAATATGTGACAATGGACAGCCCTGGCAGAGTCCAACTCCCACCCTGAAGGGGTCCCACTTAGTACCGGCAATGCGAACCAAACTCTTGCACCGCTTGTAAAGGGACTCAACAGCCCGAAACAACGGGGCCCCAATCACATACTCACAGAGCGCCCCCCACAGTGTCCCTCAAGGAACATAGTCGAATGCCTTCTCCAAGTCCACAAAACACATGTAGACTGGATGGGCAAACTCTCATGACCCCTCGAGGAACCTAGTGAGGGTAAAGAGCTGGTCCAGTGTTCCACGGCCAGGACGGAAACCGCATTGTTCCTCCTGGATATGAGGTTCGACTGACAATCTGACTCACTTCTCCAGTACCCCTGACTAGCTCTTACCAGGGAGGCTGAGGAGAGTGATGCCCCTGTAATTGGAGCACACCCTCCGGTCCCCATTTTTGAAGAGGGGAACCACCACCCCAGTCTGCCATTCCAATGGCACTGCCCCTGATGTTCCCACAATGTTACAAAGGTGTGTCAACCAAGACAGTCCCACGACATCTAGAGCCTTAAGGAAATCAGGGCAAATTTAATTTACCCCCAGAGCTCGGTCGCCACGGATCTTTTTAACTACCTCAGCAACCTCAGCCATGGTTACGGACAGACCAACCCCGAAGTCCACCGATTTAGCTTCCTCCATGGAAGACATGCCAGTGGGATTGAAAGGGTCCGAGAAGTATTCCTTCTACCTCCCAATGACATTACTGGTTGAAGTCAACAGCACCCCACCTTCACTGAACACAGTTAGTAAAGTGCTGCTTTCCTCTCCTCAGCCGCCTGATTGTTTGCCAGAATCTCCTCGGAGCTGACCGAGAATCATCATCCAGGACCTTACCGAACTCCTCCCACATCCACGCTTTTGCCTCAGCAACAGCCAAGGCTGCAGACTGCTTGGCCCTCTGGTACTCCTCAGCTGCTGCCTGTGCGGAGTCCCACCAGCCAATAAGAACCAATAGCACTCCTCCTTCAGCTTGACAGCCTCCCTAACCCAGGGTGTCCAGCTAGTTCGAGGATGGCCACCACGAGAATCACCGACAACCTTGCGGCCACAGCTCAAGGTAGCCACTTCATCAATTGAGTCACGGAACATGACCCACCCCAGACTCAATATTATTCGCTTCAGCTGGGATGTGGCTCAATGAGATTTACCTGTCTAAATAAAGGTTGAATGAATGTGGTTAAAGCTGTCCCAGAGGTTTGAGTTGAAGATCTTTCTGATGGGTTCTTCTGCCATGTGTTCCCAGCAAACCTTCACTACATGCTTGCATCTACCAGGTCTGTCTGGCATCTTCATCCATCATCTGATCCAACTCACTACCAGGTGGTGATCATTTGACAACTCAACTCCTCTCTTTATCCAAGTGTCCAAAACAAATGGCCGCAAATCAGATGGCATGACTACAAAGTCCATCATTGATCTACAGCCTAGGGTGTCCTGCTGCCAAGTGCACTTAGGGACACCCTTATGTTGGAACATTGTGTTTGTGCTGGACAAACTATGACTTGCACAGAAGTTCAACAACAGAACACTGACTCATGTTCAGATCAGAGTGGCCGTTCCTTCCAATCACGCCCCTCCAAATCACACTGTTATTATCCATGTGGGTGTTGAAGTCCCCCAGCAGAATAAACAAGTCCTCAGCTGGTGCACCTTCTAGCACCCCCACCAAGGACTCCAAGAAGGTCGGATACTCTGAACTGCTCTTTGGCGCATAGGCACAAACTGTCAGAGCTCGTCACCCCATCCGAAGGTGCATGGATTCTACCCTCTCATCTATCTAATATCCGTGTCATGATTTACACTTAACAGTTTTCAGCAATGATTAAAAAAGTCCATTTATAAAGTTGTCAGTTTCAATTCAGTTTTTCTGACTGGACACTGTGCTAATGTTGGTCTGATGAAGACATTGTCTTTATTGACAACTAAAGACAGCAAAAATTCTAACCACTTGTATTCTCATTGTAAAGCTGCAGTTGATTTGTTAGGGAACCATTAATGAAGACATCAGTTGTTCATCTAACATCAGTTGTTCATCTCTGAGATGCCAAAGGGTCCTTACATCTGGAACAGTATGACATGCAAGATGGACATCAGGCTGCATGTGAATGTCATTTATTAGTTTTGTTTGTATAGAACACAAAAATCTGTGTTACATATTTGTGAATAAATAAATAATTTTGTAGGAGTAGACTATCAAATGGATAATTTGTGAATTATTACTAATCCACCATTTATCAAACCTCAGGGCATCACTCCCATAAAAAGAGAAAACTATAAGTCTATGTTTTTGTAGGTTTATCAGTCTCAATAAATCACCCCAAATCATGAGTTCTTTTCTTCAGAGTAATATCATTATTATATCAAAATTCATACAACTGAATGAAGTTTGGCACTGTTTATGTGATGTTTATTGGCAGATAGTATTAAAGTAAAAATTTGTGACAATTATGGATAGTAAAAAATGTAATATTGAAATAAAACAAACATATATAGATAGAACAAAGTATGACTTCGCAGAAAAATTAAAGTTCAGTCTATTAAACATTGAGGGTCAGGTTGAACTGAATCTAATAAAAAGTATAAGATGGAAAGTTCTAAAGTTGAAACTTGTCAAAGGTTTGCTGAACTGGACTCCTGTTTATTTCTGGAAGGCACCATGGTCACCAGTGAGGAAGTATTTGTCCTACCGAGTCGTAGATCTGTTCAGCTCCTATGGTAGATAAGAGGCAGGTGAGTGGCCAGGACAAGTAGGTGATCTCAAAAGTAAAGATCTCCTGAGGTTACCTGTTGGCTGTTAGGACACGGGCGTCTCTCTCCACGGCTGGTTCAGGCAGTAATCTGGATCTCAGTTCTTCAACAGGTGGGTGGTCAGGCTCAAGACTTCTGATGAAGAAGTCGATGATGAAGATGAATATAACAAAAATCTGTCTCTCGTTGTAACTTTAAATTTTTGTCCAAACTCACAAAACTCATTTTTCTCTGTGAGTCAGTTTCGGGTGTTTGTATTTGATCAAAATTATCTGTTAAATTCAATTCTACAAGGTGTTTTAGAAACAACACGGTGCTTGGATGAGCTAAACTTGTTTATATTTAGAACCAAACTAAGAGTAAATATACTGTGAAAAATGTAATTCAGTAATGAAATGTGAAAATAAATACTTTGTAGTATTTAATGACTACAAGAGCTGAAATCCTGTAAGTATAATAAATTTGAATTGCTGAGTAATGCATCAGAAAGCAGTGACTTAGATCAGGGGTTCCCAAACTTTTCCATGAGTCCCCCCCCCCCACCCCCACTCCCAAACAGCTTACCGTCTGGCCGAGGCCCCCCTCGCAAACCACAAACACTGCTACAAAATATGTAAAGAAAAATCAACTTTTATAAGGTTTTTACTTTTATTCACTATATTCAATTATTACAGCTGCTGAGCATAAAATGTTTGGTCCAGATGAAATGATTTAACCTTCTTTTGTTATCTACCTGGATGACTGAGCCTACAAAAGTTATTAACATGTTTTAAACACTATTATGTATTATTAGAGGATATTTCCAATTCT